GCTGTGAAACGGCTTCCTTTTCATCCTTCTCCTCCTCTCTTTCCTTTGGCTCCAAGGAGGCCTGGATAAAACACGCTGGAGAACCAGGGCAGAGTAAGTGATGCTTCCCAGAGAAAGAGCCCCATCGGCGTGGACCGGATGCATTTGCAGCCACTCTCCTCCTTGGAATTCATACAGAATTCCATTATCGGTTCTGGACAGCAGCTCAGGGACCATCTTGTCCCATGCCCATTTGACAGATGAGAAAGCTGGAGCCCAGCAGGGGAGCAGAGGGAGCCGAGCCAGGGCTAGAATCAGGCTCCTGACTCCCAGAGCAGTGCTCCTTCCTAACACCATGGAGTGAATCCTGCAAGTATGATGCCCCATCCTCTCTTTACAAATGTGCAGAGGGAGGTTCAGGGCAGCCCTGCCAGCCACCTAGGGTCACATAGCACCAAGATTCACACCAAGACACTGGTAGCTACCCTCCTTCGTGATGGGCAGGGCAGGGTTGACATCTGGAGGACACTCGAGCAGTCTAGGAAGGGCAGAGAGGGCTGAGTCTGCAGCCTCCACCAGCTACACGCATTATGCCAAGCCTAGGGCTCCTGAGGGAGGCGGGCAGTGGGCCACAAGAATATGGGACACTCCCTAGGGCCTCTGTGCAGCAACCATGTGGCCTTGAGCCAGTCATTTCACCCTCATTCGTAGAACAGGCCAATAACAGAGCCTTCTCCCATGAGGCCATGCTGAGGCTTAGATGGGTGAAGACAAGTAAATAAAAACAGTCCATCTTTAGGGGCCAGCCCGGTGGCATAGTGGTTAAGTTCATGAGCTCTGCTTCAGCAGCCTAGGTTCCTGGATTCAGATCCTGGGTGCAGATTTACACCCCTCATCAGCCACGCTATAGTGGTGACCCACATACAAAACAGAGGAAGATTTGCACAGATGTTAGCTCAGCTACAATCTTCCTGAAGCAAAAAGAGAAAGATTGGCAACAGATGTTAGCTCAGGGCCAATCTTCCCCCCACCCCACACAAAAACAGTTGACCTTTATCAAGTCAAGCCACTGTGTGTCAGGCACTGCTCTAAGCATTTACAGGTAATTATCATCTAATCATCACCCCAACCTATTAACATCCCCATTTCACAGATGAGGACACAGAGGCACAGAGAATCACACAGCTGGGAAATGGCAGAGCACGGACTTGAACTGAAAACAGGCTGACCCTAAATCTATCTATCTGAGCCCCTGGCAAGGCCAGCTCTGTGAAGGGTAAGTGTTCAGGACAGTGCCAGGCACACGGAGCTGCTCAGTAATGCTGCTGTTGATACAATAATAATTGCTGTTGTCATTGGGGAAGTTTGTCACCGGTAATGCTATCATCCCCAAAGTCAGAAGAATAAACCTCCTGATACGTTTTGTGAAACTTTATCATTTCTTCTCTTTAGAAAGAAACGAGTAGTTAGCAAGTGCTCAAGATAAATCTTTGTTGGACTGAAAGGTGGTAGGGTTTTTTGAAGAGCACAAGAAGAAGCAGGACAAACCCACAGTCCTAACACCCTCCTTTCACTTGTCCGTGCATGTTTATTTTTATTTTAGTTCATAGCTGTGAACATGTTGTGAGAGATTTCTGGATTCTGCATCCTTCACTTAGCATAATTCCATGAGCTTTTCCCCTGTATGTTCATTGTTAACAGCTGTAGAATATTCCATCAAGCGGGCGTCTTCTTCACAACTCCCTCCCCATTTGCTCGAGCCTGGGGTTTTTGTTCCAGCTTCTGATGCGGCAGCAGGCATTCCTGGGAGTAAAATTCTTCCCTTATCTGATGTGACTTGGAGAAGTGAATTCCTGACAGTGGACTTTCTGAAGCCAGTAAGCTGGTGCTGGGGGAGGTCTGGGGGACAGAGGGTCCTTCTTGGCAACCTAGTGATGGAACCGCACCAGCCATTGTGAGTTTCATCCATGCTTAAGGCCTCCCCACCCCTGTAGGTAGTTTTGAACCTCACCATCTGAGCTGAAGGTTTCTGCTTTATCTGCTAAAGGTGCCCACGCCCCCTCCCAGAGCCCTGGGATGTTATCCCCACCCTGACACTAGTGGGCTACGGGACCTTGGGCACGTGACTTCTGTGGGGCCTCTGTCTGTCAGTTCAGGGTGGATGACCTCTCCATCCTGCCCAGTGAGAAGACCTGAGGAGAGTCCAGTCCAGCTCTGTCCCTAAGTTACCGCAGACTCTCACGGTCCTGCAAAGCTCTCTGGGCTCAGTTTCCCCGTCTCTTTGCAAGAGGTTGCAACAGTAGAGCCACCAAGCGGGCAGACGTGAGCTCACAGGCACCCACTCGTCTTACTTACCCCCAGGGACTCGGCGCCCCTAGAGGACAGAGATCCCAGAACCCGGTGCAGACCCCAAACCACGGAAGCACCATGAATGACCATCAACAGCTTCCTCTTCGGCCCGAGCTTGCTGCTCTCTCAGGGCCTTCGAATTTGCGAAGCCTCTGCCTGGAGCATCTTTCCTCAGTTCCTCTCCTTACTGGCTCCATCTCGTCACTCAAGTCTTGGCTCAGATGACACCACTTCCAGGAGACCCTTGCTGGCCACCCTGTCTAGGTACCGGCATGCTCCAGTTTCATGATCTTCACAGCACTGAACAACTATTTGAAAGGATCTTGTTGACTTCAGTGTTTCCTTGTTCAGTGTCCATCCACTGTCCCTTGAATGTCACCTCCAAGAGAGCAAGGACTAGGACTGTTCAGGTCACCACTTATTCCACAGAACCCCACAAACATGGCATAAGTGAGTCCTGGGCGCTCCGGGCACAACTGTCCACATAGACTCACATGGATCGAGTACCTACAATATGCCTGGCACCATTCCAAGCTTTCTATATATAGCAACTCTTGTAATGCTCCCTACAGCCCCTGAGCTAGCAACAATTGTTATTCCCATTTTATAAGTGGGGAAACTGAGGCACAGAGCCGTTGAATAACTTATCCAAGTTCCCATGGCTAGTGAGTAGGGGAGCTGGGACACCCTACTGCATACTGTGAGAGTGCTGAGCCCAACATGGGACTGAGTCCCTGTCCCCATGAAGCTCAGGGGCTAATTCCTTCCACAATATAGGAAGTCAGGAAGACTTCCTGGAAGAAGTGACGCCTCAGCCAAGTCCTGAGGACAAGTAGGGGTGAGCTAGGGTGAAGTGGAGAGAAGGACAAGCTGAACGGAGGAAGCAATGTGGAGGCCAACAGACAAGCAAGAGAGCAGCAAGCCTGAGGGACTAGAAGTACGGCTTGTGTAGCTGGAGTGGGGAATACAGCAGAGTGCGTGTGTGAAGGGTGTGGTCACCTCAACTCTCAGTGACTGAGAGTAAAAAAAAGTCCCAGAGGGCAAAATATGAGGCAGTTCAGCTGGGAAGATGGACAGGGACCCCCAGATCACGCAGGGCCTTGGCAAGATCGGGGGCCCAATTCTATTCTGAGGCTTCTAACCCACAATTCAAAGACTGTGTTTAGCTCTTGACTCAGTGGTGCCCAGAGGCCACTGGAGTCACCGGAAATTTCTGCTGACTCACTGTGGGGCCTCAGGCACCTCCATGCCTTCTCTGGGTCTCAGTCTCCCAACTGGTATTGGATGACCTAGTCCTGAAAGCACATGCCCACTCCATCAGCCTGGCATCTCATAGCAGAATGCTGTTGAACAACGAGATCTTGGCATTCCTGGAGTCTGATTCTGGGACTCTGGTGCACTGGCCATCCCATCCTCTCCGAGGTCAGCCCACCATCATGGCACTTTGCCAAGCAGCCTCTGGGCTGAGGGCTGAGTTTTCCTGCTCCTCGGTCCTGCCAAGATATGGGAGCTCCCCCAGGTTTGTCAGGATGGGGTGTGGGGGGGGTCTGCTCAGATCCTCTCAGAGACAAAGGAGCTGACCTGCAAAGAGTTCCAGCGGGAGCCCCGCTCCCCCTCCCTTTCCCCCTCTCCCTTCCCAGTCCACGTGTCTCTATTGTCTGCTCCCCGCTTCAGGGAAAGACACAGCCTCGGATGTGTCAAAACCACCACCCCCCGGCAGCAGGGAAATTAATTACTGGACGATTTTCACTTCCTCTTGCAGCGCCTGCCTGAGCTAGGCACCGGAACAGGACCGGCTGAGTGGGCCAGCATCGGCATGGGGGACTTGCTCCCCCCAGCAGTTCTGGGAGAAGAAAGTTGAACCCCAAACCCAATAGGGGGCTTCAGTGGGAGGCCCAGCTGGGTTGGGGGGACGACTTCCTCTAATTAAAGCTGAGTGTCCACACTGGCCACTCCAGAACTGAGGGCGAAGGAGAGGACTGGAGGCAGGCGGGTTCCCGCTGGCGAGCTCACACTCTTTTCTTTGCATCCCCTTCCCTGGGTCCCCATGTGCCTGAACTCCCCCTGTCCAGATCACTCTCCCTCCTCTCCCCTTGGCTTCTCCCTCCATCTCGCACTTTTCTTTTCTTTTCTTCGTGTCCCTGGGGGGCTTTCTTTTTGTATGTTTGTATCTCTCTTTTCCTCCCGTAGGTGTGTGTTGCTACTTCTCTCCATTTCTGTCTTTCTTCTCTCTCTGTTTCTCTCTTGTGTCTTTTTGTCCTTATCTTGGTCTCTCTGTTTCTATTTCTACCTCTTTCAGTGTGTCTCTCTCTTCCTCTGTATGTCTCTTTCTGTCTTCCCCCGTGTGTCTCCTCTCCTCTCTCTCTCTCTCTCACACACACACACACTCCTCTTTCTCCGTCTCTCTACATCTCTGCGCCTTCCTCGTCCTCTCTTTCTCCCCTCCTGCCTGCCCGCTGCTCCCTGCGCCTGGCCTGCCCCCACCGCCGCCGGTTCAGGGGAACGTGTGCGGAGCGATTGTCCTGGGGGACATTTGATGGATTAGAGCGCTGAACAGTTCCATTGCTGGGGGACCACCTGATCTCCTCCAGCCTGCGTCCCATATAAAGCCGGCAGCCGGAGTGCTGAGCACAGCTCCAGCGATCGCCTGTCTGCGCGCCGCCGCCGCCAAGCCCGAGCGGGAGCCGAGCCCGAGCCGGGGCCGCCGCCACCGGGGCCGGCTCCGCGCTGCCGCCGGCCCGCCGCCCGCTGGGAGCTGTCCAGTGCTGAAACCCCGCGCAGACAGCCAATCGCGCCCGGCTGGCCACCTCCCCCCACCGGGGCCCCACGCAAGTGCCCCCGCCGAGCCCCCTGCCAGTCGCACCATGCCGCGCTCCTTCCTGGTAAAGAAGATCAAAGGGGACGGCTTTCAGTGCAGCGGGGTGCCGGCCCCCACCTACCACCCCTTGGAGACCGCCTACGTGCTGCCTGGTGCCCGGGGGCCGCCCGGGGACAACGGTGAGTGGGACCCTGCGCGGGGATGGCGACGGTGGGGGGAGCAGCGGGGAGGGGAGTTCGGGCCCTCCCCAACTCGGGCCACGAGGAGGGGTGCGCGCGGCAGGGAGCCCCGGGAGGAGATTTCCCGGGCTGTGCGCGCCTCCGGGGCTTCCCGAGGGCCAGGCGGGCGGGGCAGAGGCTAGGTCCGTACAAAGGGAAAGTCGCAGGGTGGGCCCATCCCGCAGCCACGCGCCGGCCCGGACTTTGAAAGTTGTGGCCCCAGAACGGGGCTGGAGTGAGGGGTGGTGAGAACATGGAGAGAGAGAGGGGCCCATGAAGGGCTAGTGCTGGGGGGGGGCTAATGCACAAGGCAGTCTGAGGGTCCCCTGTCCCTGGTTGAGGGAAGGAGGGTGGCTGCCTGAGTGGGCTACCCTGGCGGGCAAGGTAAGCAGGCCTGGACCACCAGTCCCTGAGGAGCTGGGGTTCACTCCCTGGGGGTAGCTGGGGGCACCCTCCTTCCCTTCAACCCTGCTCCCCCTAGCAATGCCGGACAAGTGTTCTCAGGCCCCCTCTCTCAGCAACTCTTTTGTTACCCTCAGCCACATGCCTGCCAGAAGCTGGGCAGTCCTGGGGACTGTGAGGAAGAGGGGATTTCTAGGAGGGATTTCTAGGAGGGCTTCCCCTAAAGTGGTTCCTGGTCCCCTGGCTGCACTCCCTCCCGGCTCCCAGCTTCTCACCCCCTCCAGAGCCAGCTTTGCCGCTCCTAGTGAGCCCCCACCCCCAACACACTCCATCTCTTCTCAGAGCAAGTTGCTGCAGGGACAAGGGTTTGGGGGACAAGAGAGGTCATTCAGGCTCAGAAGGGGGTGATCTCTGGAGGGTGTGGAGAAGCAGCAAAGATGCTTCTGTGGACCCCACCCCCCATCAAGTGGATCACAAAAGAGTTCTCCACTGATGGCCCCACCAGGGCAAGTGTCTGGAGAGGAGGCGTCCTTTTGGCAGTAAGAAATCTGACATCACATGTGGTATCAGCTTTGGGGAGTGTGTGTGTGTGTGTGTGAGAGAGAGAGAGAGAGAGAGGAGGGAAGAGGAGAGGAGAAAAAGGAGAGAAGAAAGGGCTGAGGATGAGGGGGAGCTGAGATGGCAAGGGCAGGAGCCCAGGAGGCTGGGAGCTTCCGCCTCGGGGATTTCCAAGCACTTCGCCCACATTCCATCACTCTGCCAAGCCAGGTAGCAAGAGGGCGCTGGGCAAAGGGCTCTGTGACCTCGCCAAGGTCAAAGAAATTAGAGAGTGATCAGGGATACAGCCACAGCCACCAGCCCCTGGTCTCCCCCGGATCCCCAAGAGAACCACCCCTCTTTGCTTTGCTCATGTGTCCCTTATTCTACTGTCCTCTTTTCTTGACCCCAGGGCCTCTTGGGGTCGAGGACAGAAGCCCAGGGACATGGCTGGGCTTGGCTGTGTGCTCGCAGGACACAGGGTGGACCTGGGGCCGTGCCAGGGCTGGGAGTGTGTGTGCGGAGAGCTGGGTAGAAAGTGAAATTCCTGCAAGACTAGGATGTGGATCCCTTGAGGGAACTGACACAAAGCCCTGGGCTCCCACCCCCTGAGGCCCCCCGGTCCTGTCCCCAGGCCAGTGGAGGAAACCCAGAGAAGCCCAGAGAATTTCTCATGCACAGCCAAAACTGCAGGCTGTTCCTCAGGAAGGAGGGAGGAGTGCCTTGCCTTGAATTCAGTCCAAAAAAGCTTTGAATAGAGCCCCTGAGTGAATAAGCAGGGACAGGGCAAAGCCATAAGCAGGGTGTTCTTAGGGAGGTTCCACCAGGTTTGATCTTCTAGAACCGCCCCTGTCTTTGGCCATTTCCCCGAAAGGCTCCAGACCAGCTCCCTGGCCTCTGGGGAATCCTGAGGCTGTCCTGATAGGCCAATATCTGGCCTGGAACTCTGGGAGGGCTGGGCTCTAGATCTCTGACTTGCTGTGTGACCTTGGGCAAGTGCCTTCCCTTCTCTGGTCCTCTGCCTCCCCAGCAGTGAGAGTTTGGATGGCATGAGCTAAGTATCTCTCTAACTTTGACAAGCTCAGCTTCTGTGAAGGGCAAGTGTGAGATGGGAGGCACTGAAGATGCCTGGAGGGAGGCCATTTTCAGGGTTTCTGTAGGGGTACATTTACCATTCGATGTCTGGCCAAGGGTGGCAGAGTTTCTGAGACCAGGCATTTTTCTTGGCTTCCATCCCTGCAAGCTGCCCCATGGTGAGGACAGGCACCCTGGCCTGGCCACCTTGGCAGTATCTGCATCAGACGGTTAGTGCAAGAGACTGGGCTGACCCTTTAAGCCTGGGTATGGCTGAGAAACGCAGGGTCTGCCTTGTCCTGTTTTCAGGGGCCTCTCCTATCCCTGGGGTGTGGCCAGATGGGCAGTGAAGGCTCCCTCACTCCACCGGTGGGTAGGGGTCCTGGGGTCCTCGAGAGCCTGCTGGCTCCTAGTGGCCCGTTGTCTCTGCTCTGCCGGAAATAACCTTGCTGAGCGTTTGAGGGAAGTGTGAAAAATTGCTGAGCCGACGTTTTTCTCTCCCAGCGTGTGTAAGTGTGCTGGGTAAACAAGGAGAAAGAGAGGAGGGGGGGAGGGGGAGAGTGAGGGAGGGAAGGAGGGAGGGGGGAGGAGAGAGGGAGGGAGGAGGGAGGGCCTGGGGCTGGAGATAGTTCCAGTTATTAGAAAGATCCTCTTACAAGCCATTCCTGCAGCAAAGGCTGCAGGGTCAGGATGGGGCTGGTGGGAGGGGAATCCAGTGGGACAGGGAGGGGGCCTGTGAATGTGGAGGTCAGAGGAACCACTGGCTCCTAGCTGACGAAGATGCAGGACCCTAAATTAAAGAAGTGTACCCCCAGCTTGGGGAATGCCTGGGAGTGCTGGCTGCTGGAGAATTCCTGGAGGACTCCTCCTACACACACAGACACACACACACATGCACACACACACGCGATGCTCTTCTTTGCTTCATGCTGCCTTCCTGTTCGGCTTCTGTGGGCTGGGCAGAGGGTGCAGCAGGTGCATCTGGGCTCCAGAACCCACAGAACCCCTAAATAGGGAAGGGGAAGCCCCCCAAATGGGGGATGTGCCAGGTGTCTCTGCAGAGCTCCCCAAAGGAGGAAAACCAGATGGAACCTCACCCGGTCCCCAGTACAATGCCTCTCCCCCCCCCCCCCCCCCCCCCCCCCCCCGGCTGGCTCGCCCTGCTCCTGCACTGGGCTCTGCCTCCATGCAGCCTGCCCTTCGCCTCCTCTCCCCTGGGTGATGCTGAGCACAGATTCAGTCTCTCAGGGAGATGCCAACTCACATCCTCCTCACCCTCGCAGAACCACCTCGCCCTCCAGCGCCACCAAGCCCACCCACCCCTTCGCGGGCCCTGGCCCCATCCCGGGGGATGCTGTGGACTCTCAGCCATCCCAGAGAAGGCTGCTGCTCACCCATGAGCTTGGCTGTGGTCTCCGTGGGCCACCGCTAAGGACATCTTCACTGTCCCTGGAGTGTCTACCTCCCCTTACACCCTAACTCTGGACTCCGGCCGGCGCCAGGTACCCCTTCCTCAGCACCCCGCTCCGTCCTGCCCCCATACTCCTTCAGAGTGCATGCAACCCAGGGAGATGAGGATCAATGCCAATCCAATAACGCGGGTGTCCGCCCTCCGCGGCTACATTAAGCCTCCCCGGCAGGCTGAGGAAGCTCCCGCTTCTACCCATAGGCTTATTTAGTCGACCACATTATACCAGCACCCGCTTCCGCTCACGCCCTCTGATGGCGCCAGGGAGTCGCTCCAGGCCAGGCCCAGGAGCCCGGCTGAAAGTCCCCAACCACCCTGCACCTAGGAAAGTCCATCTGGGGAGCAGGGATGCAAAAGGACTGCCCCAATCCAGTGGCAGAAGGAGCCCAGAGAAGGCTGGGGAGGTGCCCAAGGACACACAGCAGGCCCATCTGGGTCTTCTTTAACCACGACTTCCCCTGGCATATCTGTCTTCACTCACATCCAAGGCCCAGGTTAGAGACATGTCAGAGGTCCCGGCTCAGAGTCTAGGTCCAACATCCAGCCCAACATCCATGTCCAGACCTGTGGTCCAGGTCCAACGTCTACACCCAGGCTTAGGTCTAGGACCAGGTCCAAGGTCTAGATCCAAGGTCAATGTATGAGGTTATAGGTTCCATCTGAGATTCAGGATAATCCATGTCTAAGTTCAAGTTTCAATGTCCAGGATCAGGTCCAGGTCAACGTTCAGGGTCCAGGATCAAGATCCAGGTCCAATTTCTAGTCCAAGTTCACGTCCAGGTCCATTCTCAAGGCTGGCTGGGCTCAAGTCTCAGATCCACTGTTAGCTTTCTCTGTGGCCTTGGTCTAATCTTCCCCAACTCCAGCCTCAGTTTCCCTCTCATGAAATGAAGCAGTTGAACTTGATCTCTTTCAGCTCAGACTTCCTGGGGACCCAGAAATCTGATTTTCCTAAGAATTAGTTAGTGGGAGTGTAGAATAACAGGGCCCATGTGGGATATGGAATCTGGGGCCCACAGTCCCTCCTAAAGCCTGGGGTCACACCGGGGACATGAGGGACCCGAGCTGAGCATCCACTCTTCAGACAGTGTGTTTGTGGTCCCTAAGGGCGGGCAGGAGAGTGCATATAGGCCGTGTGTCAGCACAGCAATTTAAACATCCCCAAATCTGCCCCCACACACACTGCGGGCAAACGGCAGCACTGGCAGAGGAGGGTCAGCCCCAACCTGCCGAGGCGAACCCGCGGCCAGTGCGGGTCCATGACTTGCCCAAGGTCAGAAAGGCATAAACAGTGGACCTTGTCACACCTCCCTGGGGGCTGCTTCATCTGCGTGTTCTAGGGGTCCCCACATCCTGGAGGCCCTCTGGGGGGCACGGCGAGACACCGCTGAGAGAGATGAGGGCCCCAGAACTCTTGGCCTCCTTCCCGGCTGTGGTGGCCCCTGGAGTGGAGTGTCCACGGCCAGCCCTCGCGTAGGAA